TCCCCCTCGAAAACGATTTCCCCCTCGAAAACGATTTCCCCACTGGAAAACGGTTTCCCCCCAACCACCCCCAACGAACGCCTCGGTCCCCCCCTTCGAAAACGACATCCCCCCTCGAAAACGATTACCCCCAACCACCCTGACAAAAGAGTTTCCTTTGGCACGGTTTGCACTCTCGCGGTCCTATCAGGATATGCATCGCTGCCGAGTCACATTATCCGTTTCAGGCAAAGTCGATGCCAAATGGGTAGAGGGTTATGACGTCGCCACTGATGTTGAGATTAAAGAACTCATAGTTGAGTGTGGACTTGTGCTTGCATCGCTCCAAGACGAATTTTTGTGTCGGCTACGTCGAGAAGAAACTAAAAAGGTGCGCGACAAGTTAGCGCAGCTCACAGAGTGCGAAGAACACCTGGAAGCATGCGCCGAAAGAATCAATAAAGAGGGGTTGAGTCACGACGATTTGAAACAGTTTACTAGCCAGCCTACCAACCAAACAGATAGAGAGGCTCAAACGGAACAACTTGAAAAATCCGTCAAAGTTATAAAAGTTGGTCTCGGTCACATGCTACTAAAGTCAAGTCAGTCATGAGCCAGCGACGCCTATGACGAATTGATATGGCTGGTCTCCGCAGTCTTTAGCCCTGCTCACGCGCTCCTTCTGAAGTGCAATTTGTCGAAGAAAAAAATGAAGGCTCTCAATTCTGCTCAAAAGGCCAAACTTGTCCAGCATATCAAGAATAAGGAACTCGAGTTGACCTGTCAGGCAATTCGGAATGAAGCCGACAAATTAGGTCTTTACAACCATGGTATGTTGCCACCATACCCTAACCCACACCAACCACCACCCACTCACTCCCCTCTCACCACCTAAGCCACCACTTATCTCCGTCGCCCATCGCAGGTACCAGCTTGGTTATGTATTGGCGCATTACCCGAAAGCTACGGACGGATATGAATACTTGAAAAGGCGTAATAGAAAAAGCTCTCAGCGCGCTCCCATTCCTGCAAGGCTGGCAGGGGGGAACTAAGCTGACGCTGAGTGGCGCCTTTTTATATGCTTCTATCGCGTGTGACGTGCCTATTGGGCGGGCGGCTTACATTCATACACGTCGAACTACCAATACCGAACAAAAGTAAGATACAATAGAGCCAGCCATCCACTTTCAATCACACCGAAACATACGCATGCTGCTGGATTTGCAGATCTACTGTGGCGCCTATTTTCGCCCACACTCTGATACGGCGGGCATTTCTTTGACAGGTCGATCTTGTATACCTAGCCATAGCACAGACGGTGCACTGATAAATGTGCACAGCCTCGTTGAGCGGATCCAAACTCATCGGTGGGCTCGATAGTCAGCTCCGAACTCATCAGCAGGGGGGTCAACATGCGTCCGAGTACATTCATGGCAATGATGTCGGATCATGGGAGAGTGCCAGAGTCGTCATTTGATTATATTATTACAAGTATTGAGTAGCGTACTTTAACGTAGATATTACACCCAACCCATGACTCCCAACTCCCACTTCCATCCAAAAAGCACACCATACATACCATCAATCAGCGACCATCCAAATACCCCTTCAGCTTCTCAAACATCGCCTCCTGGTTCTTCTCCTCCGTCGCATACAGATTCAGCTCCACCCTCTTATTCTTCTCATTCAAAAAATACCCCTCCGCCTCAACCACAGCATCCCTCCCCTCATTTGCCGCCAAAAACACAGGAATATCAGCATAGCTCGTCGTCGTATTGCCAAACGACCTCGCAGCGAGTGGGAACACGATATAGTTAATCGCCAACCGTATCGGCGTCGGCACGTCTTGGTTGGTCATGACATCTGTCTGCACGAAGCCGGGGGCGAGATGGAAGAACTTGAGCTGTGGAAAGTGAGTCTGTAGCGATTTGGTGAAGGTGTCTGTGACCACGGAATCGCGTGCGGCGTGCTTTGCTATCTGTGAGTAGCGGTTCTCGTCTTTGGCGCTCGCGAGCTCGATGTCGTCGAGCTTGAATTCAGTCTGAGTGCTTCCGGGACCCACGATGGCGATGGATGTGTCTTTTAAAGCACCGGAGGTTGCAAGTAGGTAGTTCAGGAGGAAACGGTTCAGGATTTGGACGGCGAAGTGCACCTCGATTCCTTCAGAGGTAGTCTCAAAAAGGCCATTCGGCATGCCACCTTGGGTTTGAATCAGATAATCAACATGGCTACCGGTCTTTGCCTCAATTTCTTTGGCCACAGCCTTGATTTCTGATACAAGGCTCAGGTCTGCGGACAGATAATCGAGCTTCTGCTCAGTGGACTTGGCGACTTTGCGAGCTTCTGAAATAACCGCTTGGAGTCGCTCTTTGTTACGTCCAACGATGAGCACATTTGCACCTGCCTGGGCAAAGCGGATGGCGATGCCTGCTCCGATTCCTTGTGATCCACCAGCGATGACGGCGGATTTGCCAGTAAGGTCAAGATTGGCATTTGCTTTGCGTGCTTGAGTAGACATGATGTGCGGAGTATATTGAGTTGTTACTATATGTGTGGAGTATATTGAGTTGTTACTATGAGCCATGGAATATCTAGAGGGGTTATTTGGCGCTGTTTAAATAGACTGGAGGAGCAATGATGAGCTCGGCGAGAGTTATGGTAGGATGAGATATCGCCATAATAGGTACATTTACATAGTAAATTATATGTAAAGATACTTCAGAAAATGCCAAGAGCGATTACTAAGAATCCTTCAGGATGAACACTTACTAATATCCTATACAATCCTTGGAATCCCCCAAGTCACATCGTGTGCAATTTACAATGAAAAGCTACTTGTGCCCTAAAGAGTTGTCATCCTTCGGGCTTCAGTATCTCGGAGGGCTCTTCGGAAGGCCGACAAGTAGGTCATATATTCATTGATTATTGTATCTACGTGATATTCTATACTATGATGAAGCCTTCTTTCCGATTCCGAAATGATAATGTTCGCCCACTAGAGAATCACTTAGGAATGATAAGATTGTATATAGTATTCGACATGAGGATAACTGTTACATACGACTATAGACTTAATGCAAGGATGCCTCCTTCAGGTCGGTTACGGTCATCACGTGGCGCCCTCGAGACTTAGGGCCGTTGTGTTTAGATCGCGACTGCGAACCTTAGGCACATAGCATAAGGAAACCTTAGGCACATAGGGGGTTAGTTGAGTTAAGGGAGGTTTTAGGTATTTAAGGAACGTTACATAGGGAGTTTCCTCCTTATCTTTTTTATATCCTTTATAGTAGACCTATAGAATTATACTATAACCTATCTAACTTACACTCCTATATACTATTATTTATAAGCTAGTACCCTACGTCCTTCTAGCTATATTCTAAAATAATAGAATATATAGAGGTTTTATTATATAGTTTACTTATTAGAGGAGGTAGGGGATTAGATATAAAGGCTTTTATAAAACATATTATTGTATTTTATATATAAGTTGCCTATATAGATAAGTTACCTACTAAAACACTAAAACACTAAAACACTAAAATGTATTAACTAGACTACTATTAATAATGCTATAACTAACATAAGCTAAATCCTATAACTTAGAGGATAGATTACTTCTAGTTATTTAAGTACTAAATAAACATTAATTTAAAAGTATTTAAGCTACTACATTATTATATAACATACTATAAAGGACCCTTAATAATAGAATAAATAGAATGACTTCTTAACATAACTTTACCTCTAACTTATAGAAGTTAACCCTATATAAAGAGTTAGCTCTTATTTAGTATATCCTTAACTTAAATTTATATAGATTTCTACTCTAGCTATAAGCTATATAAGAAATAGTAGACTTACTACTCTCTAAATAAGATAAGAGCTCTATTAAGATAAACTAGACTACTACCTTTATTAAGTGTTATATAGAAATTAAAGTAAAATTTAGTTAGAAGTATAATTATAAGTAAGTAAAATATAAAGATCTAAAGATAATTAAAGGGTAGTTCTTCCTTATATAAAACATAGTTATAACTTATAGCTATAATGCTAGGTCTTAAACTATAAGACTTATAGAGGTTTTATTATATTAGTTTACTTAATAGAGGAGGTAGGGGATTAGATATAAAAGGCTTTTGTAAAATACATTATAGTATATAACAAATACTATATTAAGTTAAGTATAAAGCTTCTATCTAAGGAATAACTATCTACTTATATAGTAGTGTTATACTAAAGGGAATAGTTAGAATAGTAGACTCTCTAACTATTCTTACTATTCCTACTAATCTAAATTACATATATATCCTATAAGAGGTGCTATACTTATTATAGGTACTAATTCTTATAGGTGCTTTCTTAAGGAGGCACCTTGCTCTATATAAGTGCCTTTCCTAATAGGCACCTCTCTTTTAGTAGGTACCTTCTATAAAAGGTACCTTTTCCTAAAGGTAACGTATTTCCCGGGCGAGCTGGTCACCCGGGCGAGCTGGTCACCAAAACACTAAAATTGACTATTACTGCCTACTACTACACCACCACCCTACATAATAACCCTTATTCGATCGTAATTAATTCCTAGCGCCTCTCGCACGTACGGGTATTATGTCCTATTTTCTCACATCGGCCACAGCGCTTCTGTCGGCCCTTAGAGCCCACCTGCCGACTACTCTCACTTGCTACCTCCGTACGGACTTGAGCATCAACTTCGGCACTTTGAAGGATATCCTCTGCATCTCGTACGGAGAGGCTTCCCCCTTGCATTATACGCCTCTTACGCTTCCTTTCCCTCCTCTTTTTCTGTTCATTTACTGCTTGTAGAGCCTTAACTTCTGCCTTAAGTAGAATAGCAGAATGCATCATCATTTCTGCCCCTTTAACAAGGCAGCTAACAGCATCATTAATTGAGGTAGGAGAGCTGTTCTGATGTCGTACGATGCGGTTCTTAATGTGCTCTGTTTGAAAGTTAAGCTCCCTTATAGTTTGAGGAGTCTTTGAAGTCCAATTGCTACTCTCAACTATAGGAGGAGTTGGAGTCCTTAAGCGTAGATTCAAGTGAGAGAGGACACTCTGTGGCTCGTACGGAACTAGTCCTGCAGCTCGGAATCCGCTCTTAATGTTCTGCTCTGTAAATGTAGCTTTAAATGCTTCTTTAAATGCAGAGAGAAACTCAAGCTTTGTAATGTGGTTTAGCCGGTTCCGTACAAAGGTTTCAATCTGCTTTCCGTACGAAAGCTTTAGCGGAGCAAAGCAGCTAACATCAAGAGGCTGAAGAATGTGCGAGGAGTGTGGTGGCATACAGAGGGTAATTATCTTCTGTTCTGTGCAGTAGTGTTGAAATTGGGCAGAGAGGTGGCTCTCATGTCCATCAAGAATAAGAAGGCGATAGGTTCCAACCGTACGAGGATTTGTATGCTGATTGAAGTGTTGAATCCACTCGTACCCAATTGAATTTGAAGTCCACCCATTCTCACTTAGTGTAATCACCCAATCGTCTGGCAATCCCGAGTCCTCATACCAAGCAGAGAGGTGATTCTGTGCCTTGAAAATGATGAACGGCGGGAGTGCCCATCCGTACGAATTAACACCTTGGATAATTGACACCCACTCTCTATTCCCTGGCTGTATAGTCTTCGGACGGCTCTTTGCTTCTGAGCTTGTAACTACCTTTGTAGTAGCAATAACTCCCATTGCGAAACCTGCTTCATCAAAGTTGTAGATATCCTGCTCTAAGATGCCGTATTTTGCGACTGTATTTCGTACGAGAGAGAACCACCCTTGAATTATCTTAGGATCTTCGCATTTTGCTCGTTTATAATCATACTTCCGACTAAACTTTGATTTGATTTCCGTACGACGCGTTATAAAGCTTGTAGCCCAGTTCTTCCCAACAGGACTCTTGCCTCGTTCAGAGAGTAGTAGGTCTGCCATTTCTTGTACAGCTTGCGGCCGGGGTGGAAATCCACGTGCGTCTAGGTCGAGGATATACTGAACAAGAGCTGACTCTTCGTACGGAGTTAATTTTCGTGAGTTAGGGGTAGAGTCGCGTCGAGAAGTAACACCGTTAAGTCGCGTACGTAGCGATTCAAATGGGACATCGTATGACATTGCAGCAGCTCGAATACTCTTAATATTGCCTTCTTTAATTGCTTTAATAGCAAGAATAATTCTACCCTCTTGATTAGAGGGTTGGGCTTGTGTTGGTTGTGCCATGTTGTCTGTAGTTGAGTTGACGCGTTTTAGTGTGTTTTGGTGACCAGCTCGCCCGGGTGACCAGCTCGCCCGGGAAATACGTTACCCTTATTAACTAAGCTACTTATAATCTCTATGTCTATTTCCTACTACTAATTAGCTATAAGCTATTTTACCTTATTACTCTTTCTTATAGCATATAGGTTATATGTTTTAGCTATAATATATAAGTAGCTTAGTTAGAAGGGGTACCTTTAGGAAAAGGTACCTTCTTAAGAAGGCACTTAGCTAGAGGAAGGTACTTATTAAGAAAGGCACCTATAGGAATTAGTACCTATAATAAGTATAGTACCTCTTATAGGATATATATATAATTTAGATTAGTAGGAATTATAAGAATAGTTAGAGAGTCTACTATTCTAACTATTCCCTTTAGTATAACGCTACTATATAAGTAGATAGATAGTTCTTAGATAGGAGCTTTATACTTAACTTAATATAGTATTTATTATATACTAGTAATATGTTTTATAAAAGCCTTTATATCTAATCCCCTATCTCCTTTATTAAGTAAACTAATATAATAAAACCTTTATAAGTCTTATAGTTTAAGACCTAGTGTTATAATAGTGTCTTAAAGATTCTTTAAGATACTCCTATTAATTAACTAATTGTAGAATTAGACCCTTAATAATTACTTTAAGGGTCTTTAGCTTATAGTTAGCATTTTAATAGAAGAAATAAGTTACTATAGTATATTTATCTTATAGATATAAAAGTTGTTTAATAAGACTAATTAAGATTAACGTATTTTATAGGCAAAGTGATTATATAGGCAAAGCAATTACTAACAACACTAAAATGCATTAGCTTAACAAATGTAAAAATGCTATAACTAACATAAGCCTAATCCTCTAATTAAGAGGGTTAAATACTATTAGCTATTAATGTAATTAAATAAGGCTAATTTCAAAGTATTTAAGTAAGTGTAATGTTGTATAATGTTCTATATACAACTCTTTATAACTAGTTAAATAGAAAAGCTTTATAACGTAACTTTACCTCTAACTTATATAAGTTGACTCTATATAAAGAGTTAGCTCTTGTTTAGTACATCCTTAACTTAGATTTATATAGATTTCTACCTTAGCTATAAAGCATATAAGAAATAGTAGACCTTTTACTCTCTAAACAAGGTATAAGCCTTATTAAGATAAACTAGACTACTACCTTTATTAAGTGTTATATAGAACTTAAAGCAAAGTTTAGTTAGAAGTATAATTATAAACAGTGTTTGGCAACCTGTATCTAGATCTAATCTGTGGCCCCTATAGATAGATCATGATCTATTAGACGTCTAACGGATAGATATAGGTTGTATCTAGATCTTAAGGATAATGAGGCTTAAAATATATAAATAGAATAGAATAGAGTAGCTATATAACTAATATTCCCTCTCGTCATTAGCGTCTTCGGCCTTAGTTTCGCCCCCTTCTAGTATATAACCCTAATCTTATAAGCAAAGTAAATACTAAAGCGTTTTAGGTAAGAGCCTATTCCTCTTTTTCGTAAGAATATCAGCTCTATTACTAAATACCTGTTTAGATGGAGCTAATGTTATAGGAATCGCTAAGTGGTCTTAAGCAATTGCAGCTATAATTAGATACTAATATTGCTTTGCTGCCTAATATTTAAGAATATCTATTACTAGACCTAGCTAGGGCTTAACAAGCTAGCGCTTCCATTCTAGTTCTTAGTAAATACTATAGGAGATATATAAATCATCGTTAGAGTTAGGTTCTATAGGTAATTGTAGTAAATTAGCCTTAGCGTCCTTCTTCTCTTCTTTAGGATAGTATTAGCGGCCTCTATATTAAGTAAAGACATCATAGAACTACTGCTTTACTTAATTCTGTTTAACTTCTTTAGTAAATCTGATAACTTAGAGTCGCTCATTTTTATAGGAATCGTCACTTTCCTATAATATTTAAATGGTGTATTACAGATTTAATTCTACAACTACTGTGGCCTTGGCACTCTTGGCTTACTCTTGGCATGATCCGGATATATCCTCAGATCCTACGAATAGATCATAAAGACGCCGGATAGGTCTGATCTGGATCATGATCCGGATCAGATTAGGTCATTGGCGATCTGTGCCGAACACTGATTATAAAAGAGTAAAATGTAAAGATCCTAAGTTAATTAAAGGGTAGTTCTCCCTTGTATAAAATATAGTTGCAAAATATGGATATTCGAAGGACTCGGAGATATGTGTGTCACTAACAGTTTTGTCTTTTGGTTTAGTTTAGAGATGTTTAAAGTGTTATTCATACTTCCTTCACTTGGACTATAGGCGTGCTTGATCATGAAGTATTACTTGCATAAACCCAAGAACTATATACCGATGTTGTTGTCCGGGGGGTGCAGGGTGTTCAGGAGTAGCCATGGAACACCATGGAACACCATGGAACACGACTTATGCCAAAATATGAGAGATATCGGTGTGTGAACAGATCTCGAGATACTTGAAGTCAAAGTATCCATCATTTTTCTCGGCAGGGTACACTTCTCGCTACGAAGGGAGGGACGTTAACTTATATCTGTTCACTAATTCTGAGCCCAAATCCCCTGCAAATTCCCCTCGCTATCGATGAAACGGGCGAAGAAACCCATGCCGCCACCAATGTCCGTCTTCGGCCTATTTCTCACCTAGTCAGCACATCTCCATATTACCACCAGAAAAGAAAAGGCAGTCTCCATGCACATACACGTGCAACCGCCCCCCCTTGCTCTCTACCACCTTGAGCGTCTCCTCGATGCTCTCCACGCAGAATGTTGGTAGCACGGGCGCCTTGCCGGGGCTCTTCTCGTCGTATGCTTTCACCATGCAGTCCTCGGCGACGGTCACGAACGCACCGTGCAAGCCGCCCTTGGTGAACATATGAATGACGTCTCGCGCCCCAGTCAGCGGTGAAGGGCTCCCCTGCGGGCTGCACTCCCAGTTGAACACGGATGTGTAGAAGTCCTTTGCACGCTCGATGTCGGTGACCGGGACTTCCAACCAGCAGAACTGCCCGTAGGGCGGGAGCTGCTACAGAAGTTAGTCAGGCCACGAGAGACTCGGGAGGTAGGGAGATGGTGAAGACGTAAGACTTCTTCGCTTACCTTGCTATCTGACATGTTCAAACGAGGGGGCCTGTGTGTAACCTAGATAGTGCTCTTAGGGAAGTTATGGGAGAGGGTGTTCCAACTTGATAAGACTCCGATACAGTATAGAATGTCAATTGAATTACACGTCGACATAGGCCGGAATGTTGTTCAGACTGCAGACTACCCACCTATATGATAGTGAAGGTCGCAGAGATGACGTGGTGCTTGCTGCGTCATATTACGTCATTGAGTAGTAACATACAAAGATGGTGTTTCTAGTGCAGCAACGGGTCTTCGCCTGCAAGGTAAGCATGTAGAGGCAGAGGCGATGGACCAGCAGATGCTGAAGCTCAGGGGGCGGTGCTCGGAACGAATATGCAAAATGTAAAATATTCTCATAATTCTATGGATGAATCAAGATTCCCTTCAATTGCCGCCGAAGATCTATACTACTCTTCGAATCTAACAGCCCCGTGACAACTATTCGTATTCACCCAACAATTCAGCCACAGCATAATGAGCCACAGTCTAGGTCAGCCACAGTCCTGGTAGTAGGTCAGGCTGGGCGCTGGGGTTAGCTCGGGCCAGGTGTTCCAAGCTCGCCTAATTTTCATCGAACTTAGAAGGCTCGCTTTGACCTCAGCACCCGCCTTGAGGTCTGGGTATTTTATGCAGACGTCGCTGGTTCCTCTTACAATACCACCGCAACCAGAACACGACAAGTGCGAGGATTCTGTACGGAGTGTATTACTAATGCATTATCAATTGATTACTAGGAATCCTGTAAATCCTTCCGCATCTTCATCAGCTCTAGCTCTAACTTCTCATTTTCTAGCTCTAACTAACGAGCCTCAGCTACACCTTTTTCATTTTCTATTTCTAGACGCCAAGCCTCAGCTGCAGCTATTTGAAGCTCGATGCTCTCTTTATCTAACAGCATATTTTAAGTAATATTTTGTCATAATAGCATTCTACTATGAATACATTAGGAATGTATTGATAATCTATTAATGTGGAAACGTACCCTCTTCGTGATCTTAATTGTGAACTTGAACTTTAGTGTAACCTTAAGTGTTAAGTAGGCCTAAGATTCCTAGAGGTTAAAGCTTAAGATAGGATTTTAGACTTATCCTCTTAAGTTAAATTAATATTATCTTATAAAGTAGGTGCTCGAGCTTGCTTACAGGATCCTATATATATTAGTAATGTATTAATTATATATTCCTTTATTACTAACTTTCTCTTATATCACTAAGCTTAAACTAAGCAGAGATATAGCCCATTACAAGCCAAGTGCCATCAATTTGTAGATCTCCGACTCTAGGACACTATACTTCGCGACTGTATTCCGCACAAGGGCGAACTAGCTACAAAAACATCTTTCTATCGTCGCATCTAGCTGCGTAGTAGTCATGCCTCTGTTAAAAACGCGTCCGGAGCTTTAGATGACGTTTAACGGGGTTTGAAGCCCGGCACGTCCTGTTGTGGTTGGCGCAAACTCAATTCCCCAAAATAGTTAAACATAATTTTTTATAAATTAAACTCCGTCTTGAGATGATTAGCTGCTGAAATTTAACGGGTGAGTATGATATTGCCATCTTTAAGGTAGTTAGTAGTGGTAGCGCGACTTAGCCGCTGAGCACCACTATGTTGCCCACTTCAACCAACAACCTGTTGTCAATCGGGTAGTACTTATAAATACTCCAATGACTGTGAGTCGCATCTCTATTACTAGTTTCGAGTTTGAGTTTTAACTGTTCTGTTTTTAGGGTACTTTCAGTGCTTATAATTAGGAATTAAGTGCCATCTTAATTGGTGGTTGAGATGTTACTTCGCGTATTAAGTTTAAACGTCTGAGCTATGTCTACGTGCTGGTTCAAGGCTTGCACTAAATATGTTGACTTAAATTCCTTAATCCCTTAATTCCTTAAATCATTTCAACCCAAACCCGCTAACCTAAACGCTGTCAATGTAAATCCCAGTAGCCTAAATCCTCTAATTCTCGTGTGGCGCTGGAGCACAAGTAGTTTGCCGATGTTGAGAACATCGATGGACCACGATGTAACAGTTCCCTGCGGTGTGGCGGTGGGACGATGGAGAAGCATTCGACTGTGCCGTCTGACAAATATTACTGGTAGTTCATCCACTTGCAAGTAGCGCGGCGAAAGGTTTAACATTTATTGCGCAAAGAGCTCTCGTAGCGCGTCGAGTTCCGTCGTACTCTTGATGCTTCCCTGTATCATTATTCCATTGCTCAGTCCAGTCACCGCGCACAATGCTTCAACCAAGCCTCTCGCCGCTATAACCTCAAGGTATATTTACATAGCCGTAGGCGGTATACCTACGGATAATGGCACTTTTTAGCAGAACTTTGAGGCGAGACCACCGTGATCACCGGGTGGTAACCAGCAGAAACTTGAGATGGGACCACTGTGATCGCTGTAAGCTATTATCTCTATCAACTTATTGCCACATTCGGCTATAGATGGCAACCGCACGCGCGATTTCAGCCATAGTTAAAACGGCAATTTGAAAGCAGTGTAATCTTGGTCGCGGCGTGGCCGATTGACTGGTGCTCCTTAACTCAACATAGAGCGTAAACTAGCGTTAGGAACCGAACTAATAAGAACACCACCCTACAAATCAACCACGTAGTCTCTTTCCGAAGACCCCTTGTCTGTTGCGCTCTATGCCCAGCAGTGGCCACTTTGATCACAACATCCATCTCTATATGCACAAGTTTCAGAACTTTGCGTCGATAGGCACCTAAATATTGTTGAGGCCGTCTTGGGCCCATGTCCGCTGTTCGAGGACGGTGTAGCTGGGCTCACTTCCTAGTCTAAGGTGATGTTCAGGAGGGGCTTGAATCTCTCTTCTCTTCTTCTAGAGTTCCTGGCGAAGCTCGCTAGATAAACTGGATGGTTCGTTTTGTAGGTGGCTTCAATGAGACCCTAAGCATGTTGCTCTTCCATCACTACCCTCATGCTAAGGTCTTAAAAGAGAAGCCATCTTACATCCACTTCATCGACTTAAAAGACCTCGAATTCGAAGGAAAGGGTTTAAAGCAATAGCCCACAATCACCGAGCAACACTCCCAGCCACACAGGGCCATCAGGTATCAGACAAGACGAGAGACGACGAGCTGGCGCGAGGAGTCCTCCATACAACAATTAGGCACTAATAACATTCCACCTTGACTAGCATTAGACACGACATATTGCTTAGATATCTAGAGCTTCGCCGGTTGCATCAACAGTTTCTGCAGTCCAACTCAATTCTCGACCCACAACTGTAAGACTGAACACGTATCCGCCCCTTTCTGCCAGCTTTTATCCAAACGCACCCCTCCTGCAGACGAACAACATAACCAAACTCTCATACAAAAGCCATCGAGCAGTTTTTGCAACTGGTATGGAGAAGCACCCAGTACCGGATATTCATCAGTCGCAGGTACGCATGCCACGCTTCAACGGTCTGGCCTAAACCGAACACCAAGAGATTAAAAACTGACTTGTAGTTGCCACTGTTTAACCGCATCTACCTCCTAGTGGTCGAAGTAAACCACCCTACGCATGACTGCCTATCCCTGAGGACTTCTTGCGCTTTCGGTAGCGTAAACTGTACAAATTAACACTTAGTATAGGATATACGATGCCTTGTTCCCGCTTGCCACAAAGCTAGAATAAGGAGGAGGGACGAAAGATACGTACTAGAAATATAGTGCAACGAGTTGAATAGGTATAGCGATAGCGCCGCCTATAACTAACCATTTGTACTTGTGCCAAAAGCTTTCGTTATCACGTGTCTGGAGGATTGCGAGAGTGGAAGTTTCCATTTCGAGGTAGGGGGTAGAGTTATGTGTGCAACGGAGATGAGTGCAGTAGTCTGAATGTGGAAGTAGCGAGTTCGGTGTAAAAATAAGAATGAAAGATCAATGGCTGTCTGGTTTTCCTATCCCTAGACTGGCAAAGCCAAGGACTTTATATTATAATTACTTCGTAAGGTTTGTTGCTGATGAGCATTCGTACACCATACGCAGTTTGCGTACGAATATATTCCGGCGGTTATAAACCGGTATAACAGTACCTATTACAGACATGGAGATGCAATCTTTGAGTTATATGAGGATGCGTGTGAGTCTGACTTCGGTGCGAGTACGAGGGGAAACAAATTCGACGGGACTCGCCTCGCACCTCTGCCAGAATGTCGGTTTCTCTAGCTTCCTAGATGCAGATCGTTGTCATTGTACTACGTCGTCACTACATATCCTATCTAAAACTAGACAGATACAAAGACCTACGCTCTGAGATTGAAACTCGTATACAGTGCCTGTCCGGTTCGGGTGAGAAATACGAGTTGCGAGAAAGCCACAATTGGACCTGATGCGGTAGTGATCTCAGCACTGATAAATTAGAGTCTCACCCAAGCCCCACGTAGAGAAGCCATGCGCAAGGGCCTTAACATGAGCATCTGTAATGGGGCGTTGTATTTTGCCCCTTTACTTCTGTGTAAAAGCACATATAATTTTTATGCAATGAATAGGCGTAACGCTGTCTTAGCTTGCTCGACTGTCAACTTATTCCCTAATGGGTGCCACCCGAGCCTTCCACGCACTGTAATTATTTGAACTTGATTTCGAAGTCTGGTCGTGGGTGGTGACGACGTGATGACGTTAGAAATGTGCGTGTTCTGTTCTAGTGAGCGCGAATACGACCGAATCCGAGAGGCAAATATACGAAGTGGGGCAAATATCAGTAATCGCCCAAGCGAGTAAGAGCAACCCCATGGCAGTGGGACCATCTCCGTACCCTGATTCTAACCATTTTTCTACTAAGATCAATTTGCAGATAACAGATGCCTAGTTAATGATATAATTATTCTTAATGGCTTAAACCTGAGCACAACCATGCTATGCAGTTTCAAACCAGCAGCAATTAACACTCCCTATACCTTATTTTTGTGCTGAATGTTGTGCTAAGATTAACCTGGAGTATTTATTGAAAGATATGTTCCGGCCCAACCGTGAG